AACAGGTCCTTATATTCTTTGGATTCTCCTGGCGAGCCCTTGGATTTTCCGATCACTTCCTCTTTCGCCCATGGAATCCATGTCTTCCAATGTCCTGTAAGTTCCCGTCTCTCTGTTCAATCTCTCTCCGCCTCATTCATCCTGCATAGTTCCACTTGCGTTTATTTTTATTGTTTTTTGGTTCATTGCCGATTAAATTACACTGCTTCCGCTCCAAGTTCCGTTTGATTTGAGATTTCTAATTTCTGATATGAAGTCGAAGGGAAAATTGAATTTGTTTTGTGATAGGATGCCGTGGGAATCGTTGCTAAGCTATCGGAGTGTATAGCTTCCAGAGGGGGAAACATATTAACCGCAGATATTTTTGTACCTGAAAACAAGAACGTCTTCTATTCCAGAAGGTAATTTTGAATAAAATAATCACCCAATTGACAAATAGAGTATTATGTTGAAAGGAAAGACAAGTTTACACCAAGTAGTAGTCAGTAGACCGCAAGGAGACACTATCTAGAAATTGTCCCCACAGGTTTTCTTTGTTGAAGAAGATCCTATCGTTCCTTTAGAGTATGATATTCCAAGAAAATGAAAAATTAATTTTAACCATACAAGTCATGCTGCGGCGACCATATTAAATAATATCTCTGCTTATTGAGGGGTCTTTGGGGAATATATTCAATTCTCCCACAAAAAGAAAAAGTGATTCATCCAGAACCTATCAAAGGGATTCATATTTTGTTCTGTATACTGAGTAAAGAGGAGTCTGTTATTGTATTTTCGTTTGCAAAGTTACAGACTTACTGCCCGGCTTCTTTTAGCACCTCAATTTCGCATTCTAACTCATGCAATTGCATACAAGGCTAAGTCAATCTATTCCACAAATTTTGCATTCCGAGTAAAAGTTCTTTATTGTGTTTGGCGTACCTATGAAACATGGATACAGATGGAGGATAATAATTATGGCAGGTTCATGTATGACTTCTTCGTTTGATTGTTAAGTAAACTGTTCCATCATTGTGCGGTCAGTCAAGAAATATGGACGGAAATATGTCCCCATCCATATTTCATTTTCTATTAGATTTCTTCTTGTACCTCTCGAAGTCGTGTCCTTTCCAGAGATGTTTCTTATATTCTATCAGGAGTGGTTGGAATTTTCAAGAGTGAAATTTTTTATCTGTGTTCAACTCTGTTGCTCAAGGCTTGCACCAGCAACTTCCAAGATTATAATCGTACTTAAATTTCTCCTTTCTGGGAATGTAATTGAAGACTTGCATTGGTAACTTGAATTTGAGGAACATTATGATTTTACTTTGGTTTCTTCTCTCTGGGAACAGTTGAAGTTCATGCATACTTTATACTCTCAAAGTTCTTTTTTATTTTTAATTTTTTTTAAAAACTTGTGTGAAAAAATTCCTAAATTCTTCCTTTCCTATCCAGAAACAGCAGTTACCAAAGACTAGCATTAGTGGCTAGGGTTTTGAGGATTATTACTGCTACTTTTTGGGTTTCAAGGAAGAGTATCGAAAGTAGTTGATAAGAGAACGTCTTTAGTCTTGTGTTCAAGAATGTTATTCAAAACTTGCATTTGTGACTTGAAATCAAGAAGTATTCTGATTGTTCATGAATCCCTTGTGGAATTAGTTATGATGCCGTGCACCTCTTTTTGTCAGGAATAAATCAGTACAACGTTTGGTTTATGATTAGTTAACTCGGTTGTGATGAATATCAGGTTGTTCTTTATATCATTAAGGAAGCAATTTGGATTTATCTAGTGCACTTTGCCGAGCTTGACATTGAAACTTGGAACCTGTAATTGACTTTCGTTTCATGTGCAGTCAGTTTCTTTTTGATCCTTCTAAATGGCCGAGGATAGAAATGGATGAAGACTTCCGTAAGATCTCGAAAATGTTTAATGCTTGGAAATCTGTTGTCCGTGTACCAAATCTTGACCCCAAATATAAAATTGCAATTCTTGCTTCTAAACAGGTATACTTGTCACTTTTATGTCATAAGCCTTCTTGTTTTGCATGGCTATTTGGGATTAAATTTTCTTTTCCCATTGAAGGATCATTGTCTGGTTGACTTATTACATCAATGGCAAGGAGGGAAACTTCCAGTGGAAATAACTTGTGTTGTAAGGTAAATTTTCTGAAATTACTTCTTTTAATCCGTTTCAAAGTGCTGTGACCTTCCTTATCAATCCATTTGTTTCAGTAATCATGATAGGGCCCCCAACACCCATGTGATGCGCTTTCTTGAAAGGCACGGTATTGCCTATCATTATTTGCACACATACGATGATAATAAAAGAGAAGGAGAGATATTGGAATTGGTGAAGAATACTGATGTTTTAGTACTTGCCAGGTACATGCAGGTAAATTAGATCATATTACTTCTGACTACTACCTTAGCAGCATAATTTTTATAAGAAGATTGTTGATAATTATGTAGTTCCAAATCATTATCATACATATAGTAATATTTTTCATTAAAGACAGAAATGGATAAAGTTAATGGATGTTGAAAAGGAAACTGATGCAGTTTCTTAGTGATAAAGAAACCTAGCCAATTGTATCTAAGAACCTTATGGTTTTGAAAACCCCTAAATCACAAATGCTAAAACCTGAAAATAAAAATGATTTCAATCCAAGGAAATTAAAATCCTTATAACACAAAACACTAAGGTTCTTTATTACTTAGTGTTGTTACTTGTTTTTAACTGATTGATTGTGCAATTCAATATCTGATCCTGGAAAATTCAATTTTTTCCTACAGGTATTATCTGGTAATTTCTTGAGAAGCTATGGGAATGATGTAATTAACATCCATCATGGTCTTCTGCCTTCATTCAAGGGCAGTAATCCTTCAAAACAGGTTCGGTTATTGCCTGTTTTACAAGTTACAGAAGCCATTGCCCCATGCATGTTTAATTTGTTAGATTACATTGACAGGCTTTTAATGCTGGTGTGAAGTTAATTGGTGCTACGACCCATTTTGTGACTGAAGAACTTGATGCAGGACCAATCATTGAACAGATGGTATCTTTTAGATTGTTTCGATGCAAACGTGGCTTATTTTTCTTGTGAACTGTTAAAATACAGCTAGGTATTTTTTTTTAATATATGATTATCTGTTTAGATCCTAACAAAAGGAAGTTCATGGATTGTTTATGGTGATATAACTGCTCCTAGCAAGCATGTTAGATTGCTTTTTTCTTTTCCTTTATATAACCACAATGTTTGTGTTCAAACTTGGCAGGTTGAGAGGGTTTCCCACAAAGATAATTTGCAGAGTTTTGTACAGAAGTCAGAGAACCTAGAAAAACAATGCCTAACAAGGGCAATTAAATCATACTGTGAACTGCGCGTTTTGCCATACGAGGAAAGCAGGACCGTTGTTTTTTAAGGGGAAAAGGATGCGCCCATTTAAAGTATGTGAAATCTTCTTCCACTCTTTTGGTTTTTCAATCAACATACTATTGTTGGTATAATTTATGCACTGAATTCAATTCATTGAGTATACAACCTATACCTCTACGGCTCTACCTGGATTTGTTTCCAACTAAATTGCCAGTTATAAATAAATGAATAGATTTCTTTAACTCCATTTTCGCGACTCAGGAGATTTGATGGGTGTTGAATAGCTGAAATGTTCCATATTTTCTTGTCTATTATTTTGAATGTTTGCTGAGAGAGCATTTCGGGGTTGTGTGAGTTCTTAACTTGAGATACTATTGTACTCTTACGTTCCATGACTTCCCAATAGAAAACATGTCTAACTGTCAAATTCTAGCTTATTGTTTCAGCTTGTTAAGACTATTGAGTTCCTTTCTCTGTTATATATATATTTTTCTTAATGATGGGTTAAGAATTTTATTCTGACACAACCTTACAATTGAAAGAATACAAACGGATTATACGGAAAAGAAGTTTGTTCAAAGGAAACAATAAATAGATTACAAAAAAGACTGTAGTTGTTGAATAATAGTTACATGGAAATCGACACCCGAAAAGAGGCATGAAACATAGGGGCCACACCTTCCCCAAGGTTTTTCAAGCCTTCTAAAAGTTCTCGGAAAGCCCATAAGTAAAGTAAATCACAAGAAATCCTTTTGTAATTATAGCCTACACATGGTAGTTAGGAATTGGAAGGCTGTCATTGTTTAGTTTTGATGGGAGGGTCTTCTTGACCCTCTGCCCTTAGGTTGTCTCCCTTTTTTATAGTTAACGAATTCTTTGTTTCTGATAAAAAAAAAAAATCTCGTAGCGAGAATGAGTTCAAACAGTAATGACCAACTACTTTTACTTTAGCAACCAACACATGTGGTAAATTTATGTAGTTGTCTAATGAAATTAGTTGAGTGTTCACAAACCAGCCTATACACTCGTAGACTAGTTGAGGTGTATACATGCCTGCTTACACACCGCCATGGAACGGATTGTCATTATATATTTGAATTCCCCTCTCTTAGAATTAGGTGATCTGCATCTGCAATCTGCATATGCATAAAGGACTGGTGCAGGATGCCAATGTTCAAGTACTGAACATGCCCCATGGAATTGATGACATTTTGTACCCTAAGGCCTAAACTCTTACAGCGTTTTGTACGTACGATTCTTCCCTCTGTCGAATCATATGAGAATATTTCGATTCGGTTCTGTTCGGCTGTATTCTTTGAGAATTGTGTTTTTATGTTCGATATTTAAATTCTTAGAGCGAGTTAAAGTTAAAAAGTCAAGCTTATGTTTTGTACCTTGGATTATTTCTCTCTTTCAAACTTAGATGTACGGAAGAGACTTACCTTTCATGCTACATATTTATTTTTACCTGTTACAAATTTATGAACTAAAGTTTCTAGGATTCTTTCTAGCCACCATCCAAACATGTATTATATAAATTTAGATTCATTAAAATTATGAACACAATATCCTTATGTATTGTTTGGAGTATGCGAGTTTTATTTCTTCCGAATTTATAGGTTTTACTAATCTTATGGTTTACGCAACTTAAGATTTTGAAATCTCCCTCTTAAATTATACACAGCCTTTTCAAAGAGCTAGTTTCCACCCCCAGATGACACGAAAATGAATCGACATTTTTACTTCGGTGCAAAAAAAATTGATAGATGTAAAAAAATATCAACAAAATATCCACCAATGTAGGCACAATATTAATATTAACGAGAAGAACTTTTCACTTATTTAAAAATAATTGAATATTTATTTGATAATTTAAATATTTTTATAAAATTTATCCACAAATATCTATGTCAACTTCCACCATTTTTTTTTATTAAAAAAACTTTTTTGCTCCAAAGAATTCGAAAAGACAATTTCCTACGCACCTTTAATGATTGGACCCTTCAGCACACATTTTTGGTTCATAACCAACAAATATGTCTTTCTAAATACTACAAAATTAATTTATTTTAAATTCTATTTTGGTTGTTATATACTTCAACTTCTATGCTTATTCTCTATTTATGTCGTTGTTCTTTCAAATTTTCAATTTCGGTCTTCAAATTTTTGTGATTTAGGGCATATATATAAGATTTATGTGGACGGGGCTTTGAACAAATTAGATAGTTAAGGGCTGTTTGGTAATATTATCGTTTCTAATTTCTCAATTCTAATTTTTAAGAAATTTTTAAGAAATACAAGTGTTTGATAATTGTTCTTGTTTCTCGTTTTACATTTTTAAGAAATGTTTCTAAAATTGTGTAGAAATTTTGGAAACAACAAAATCAAATTTCTTACTTATTTTTTTTTGTTTATATTTATAGTTTTTCCCAAATCATAGATAAAAACATTATTCGAACATTTTTTACTTATGAAATGGACAATAAATATCAAAAAATAAATATAACATAAAAATTTGATATTTAATTTAAAAAAGTAATTTTCACATACAACTTTTAAATTTTCTTTAATTTTTAATATAAAATTTTAGAAAACAAGAACTAAGAAATAGTTCCCAACTACGTTTCTGTTTCTTTTTCAATAAAAAAGAAAGAACGATAAAAAAGAAATAGTTATCAAATGCAATTCTATATTTTTTTTATTGAAAAAGAAAAACGAAAAACAAGTAACATATATGAACGTTACCAAACACGTTCTAATTTAATTATATGATGCCAATTGTTTGGAAAGAAACTAAGGGTTGTTTGAAATCTGCTTTGAAAATAGTTTGTTTATATATATATATATATATATATATATATATATATATATATAGATTTAATTATTTAATTAATTTCCCCGAAAAACAAAAAATTTTGCAAAAACTTGTTTTAAGAATGATTTTTTAAGTATTCTTTAATGTGTCGAGGTAAAAAGAAATGAAATTGTTATTCCTTCTAAAATCAATATTTAAGAATACACAATAACATTAACTTTGATAGGTCATTCAATCACAATTTCTTTTAACATAAAATAGAAAACTATTTTTACAAAACAAAAAATACACACAGTATCTAAGTTTTTTTTTTTTTTTTTGAATATTCTCAACTTTGAAATAGAGGCACTAATATTTGATTGCAACACGAGCACATGGCTTATTTTTGAAGGAATTGCATACTTGTCAATTTCAAGTACAATTATGTAAATTGGCATGCTCAAAAAATCATTTCTCAAGTGGTCCAAAATTATATTTCAATTTCAAAGATCAAAGTTGTTTAGAAATGATGAATCAAAGTCAAAATATGTCCTTTTTATGGGCATGATGTGATTAATTGGATAGTTTATTTAATCTTGGATTGGCAAGTAATTGTTGGCAAAGTAATGTGACTTTAGATAAAAAGATGCTACATAGATTCTAACCCTTGAAATTAAAATTATTACTAGTGAGGGATTTTTTCTTTTCCTTTTTTACTTTACCATCAAAAGTGCATCTATCGAATTATTCAAATCTTGATGGGATAGATTAGGAACAAAGAGGATAACTTTTTTTTCCCTTTCTCGAGATATCTTTTGATCAGGGTACGGTGTTCATGGGTTGAAGTATTTTTTAGACTCAATCGAGTTGTTCTGATTGTAAATTTATTCAACCCCAAACAACCTTTATTTAAATAATGAACCAAATCCAACCCAATATGATATATTGGAGTGGGTTGGTTCGAGTTATTCAGGTAAGTCATTCAAAATATTATATAATAGAAAAAGTAAATGCTAATGTTTTGTTTTCTTTTTTGTTTAGTACAAAAATGTAGGGAGGATCATCTCATGCCTCCAGAGAAGGAATAAAATATATCTAAATTACATAATTTAAACATTTATTTACATATTTTCTAACATTGAATCAAGATTTGTAAGTAAATGTTTATTTAAACGGTGAAAAATTACAAACTAAATGATTTATTTTAAAAAGTTGGAGAATAAATAATTCATACAGAATCATTGAAAGAAATGAAATTAAAATAAATATACCAACATAATTTTATGGTAAGTAAAATAAATATTTTCAAATTAATAATAAGTTCGAATTGATTTGATCTCAGATTTATTTAGGTGAATCTTTTGAACCAACCTAACTCTTGGAGTTTTCATGTATTTGAACCAAACCGAACCCAACCCTAACAAGTTTATAACCCAACCCACGTTTGGGTTGGGTTCACTGAGCTTTCCGTGTCATCAGATTTTTTGAACACTCCTACTTTTGATCAACTTGGAAGAATTAATTTAATTCTTCATCTAATTTTGACTACTTAATCATTTGTTAAATATTATTTTGCAAATTCAAAATGAAAAAAAGAAAAAAAAACATCTCATTTAACAAATACTCGCCAAACCTCAACATAACTCAACTAGTTTAGACACATATCTCCGATTTGTGCAACTGTTTTAAGTTTTAATATTTACGAGTGTTATCTCTATTAGTGATATGTAATCATTCAAGAGAGGTTAATTAATCAACTACTATATTGAACACAATTGTCACTTTTTAATAAGTTCTATATCTTGTAGCCATTCACTAGGCATTATCCCTTCAACTCTTTAATATGACCTACCCCTATAATCATTCTATCTTTTGCAAAGAGACAAAGAATGAGGAGAAAAAAAGAATTATGTTAATCAAGAATGTGAATGTGCTTAATTGGCAATGGAAGAAAAGGTTAATTTTTAGTGAATTCAATAGGAAATTATGGTAACATTTATTACCAATATAAATAAAGGGAATGTTAGTTAAGAAAAAAAAGGAGGAGAATTTTGCCTATAAGATCTCTAGTATTTATGTTACATTTATGATCAGGTTAATTTAATTCCTAAAACCCTATACTAGGTTAGATGAATAAACTATAAATAGTTAAAAATATTATTTTGATATCTGTATATTTAACTTTGGCTCATTTTGATTTCTCTACTTTTAAAATGCCTATTTTGGTCTTTGTACTTTTAATTTTGATTCATTTTAGTCCATGTATTTTCAAAACGTTATTGTTCTGGTTTCTGGACGTTTAGAAAGTGTGCTATTGCTCAAATCTGGTCACTTGAGAGATTCTCATGAAACAAATCAGAATGTGACGTGCACACTAAGTTAGTCTTAGGTCGATCAGTTTTGGTGTAATTTGCTTGCACGTACCTGAAAAATAGAGTTACCTTTTAGCATTTATAGATGAAAGAACGGTTGGGACCGTTCTTCGGTCGTGCAGCACGTTCCTTGAAATCCTATAATATAAAGTTAGGACTATATTTGAAGAAATATAATAGTGTGTGTTGTGTTCAAGTTGTGATCGAGAAAAAATGAGATAAAAAAGTTAAGAGATCAAAAACGAGGACCAAACATATGTT